CAATATATCCCCTATATAACCCTTCCATGCTGACCAAGGACGTGTATGCTCCCAAGGAGAATCTCTTCTTCCACTTGTGGGAGAGGGATTACCGGCGAGTATACTGGAAGGACAACAGGCGCCTCATTCTTTTTGCACGCCCAGAGAAGTCCTTTATGATTGCCATTCATTCCGGACGGATGAGCGTCGCTAGATTGTAAGACTTGGCCATGAAGCTGAAGTCCTCTAGCATATTGCTGAATGAACAAGTTTTTGTCTGCACTTCTTTTCCACCTGCATGTACCCATATAACCGCTTTATATCCCTACATTCTAACCCTTATAATCCCAATATTATAATCCTTATAGAATTCCTGTGTAACCCCTATAATCCCTGTGTAATGCCTATATAATCCCTGTATGCTCCCTGTAGAGCCCCTATATTATAACCCAGATTAGGATTTTATGACCATAANNTTTTAGAGTGCTCTTTGATTCTGTTTACCCTAGATCAAAATCCTAACCATTATAACCCCTATGACATCCTGGACAGGGCCCTCTTTGCCTCGCTTCTCAAAGCAACTTTTCCGCAATCAAGGCCTTGCAGCCCGTGCCCCAAGCTCCATGTTCCCCATATGGGGGTTTCCCAAAAATTAGGGGTACCTTTTTGGGGGTCCCCATAATAAGGATTCTAGTATATCGGGGTTTATATTGGGGTCCCCCTATTTTGGGAGGCTACCATGTAATCTTTATATACCCCCATAGAATCCCTATGTTCCGCGTATATGCCCCACAATCCCCAAAGTTACTTGCCATCCCCAATAATACCTATATAGCCAGTTAATATAGTCCCTGCAGCCCTTTAAACCCCCCAATCCCCCGTAATCCCTAGATTCATCACAGAACCACCCCGCCTCCATAATCCCTGTAGAGTTGATTCACCGTAACCAACCAATTCCCACCAATCCCCATGATCCCTATAACCCGTAATGTAGTCCCTTAAAAAAGCTTATATAATCCCCTATCAACCTTATATATAATCCCCTACAAAATCCTTATAGATAATCCTTCTAATCCCCAAAATAGCCCCTGTAATCCTCCTGTATAATCGCTAAACCCTAAACCCTAAACCCTAAACCCTAAACCCCTAAACCCCTAAACCCCTAAACCCTAAAACCCTAAAACCCTAAAACCCTAAAACCCTAAACCCCTAAACCCCCTATACTCCCCTATAATCCCCATTTTTACCCCAGGCTTCGCAGTGCCGACTGCATGGACTGCTCGAGGGCAGCGCTCAGGGGGACGGCAAGGCCTGGCCACTGCCAGGCCTGGTGTTTAGGGTTCTAATGAGGTTAAAAAGGGATAATCATAATGGAAAAGAAAATGGAAGCTACTATAATGGGTAGGGTTTAGGGTTTTATGGGTTCAGAGTTTTAGGGTTTTAGGTTTTAGGGTTTTGGGGTTTTAGGGTTTTAGGGTTTTAGGGTTTTAGGGTTCTATGGGGGTTATAGAGGGATAATGGAAAAGAACATGGAAACTACAGGGATTATAGGGGGTATATAGGGATAATGGAAAAGAAAATGGAACTACATAGGCGTTATATAGGGATTATAGGGAGTATATAGGGATAATGGACAAGAAAATGGAAGCTACTATAGTGGGTAGGCTTGGGTTTAGGGTTTAGGGTTTTAGGGTTTTAGGGTTTGGGATTTTCTGGGGATCTGTAGTGATTATAGAGGGATTATAGGGAGACTATAGGGAGTATATAGGGATACCAGGCTTGTTAATACGGATTTTGTAGGAGTATGTAGGGATGATATGCGGTTTTATTGGGGTTATATAAAGAATCTATAGGGATTACACAGGGACTACAGGGATTATTTAGGAGTACAGAGGGGGTTATATGGGGATTCCATAGGGTTTACATAGGGACTACAGGGACCATTATACCAGGGTACACAGGGGCCACAGGGGGATTAATAAGGATTCTGAGCAGGATCAAGACCTGAACCCTAAACCCTAAATCCTAAAATCCCCAGACCCTAAACCCTTTAAACCCTAAAAGAGGCGGACGCCGGGCCACGGCTACTGCCGATGCCTTTGGCCTTGGGAGTGTGCGGCCGCTAGAAGCGTACGAGGTGCGGTGCAAGCAGTGCAGCAGTGCCACAGCAACCTCTACTGTATACAGAGTCCTTCAGGGAATATATAGGGTTTAGAGTCTAGGGAGCTATAGTCTAAACTCCTAGTATCCTCCTTGATAACCCTTTTAATACTCCCCAATATGGTCCCCAATATAACCCGCTTTAAGAAGTTTAGACTGCAGCTCATATGGATTTCACACGCATCATAAGTGTCGGCCTCGGAAAGAAGAGTAAGTTCCATACATGTTGGGCAATGCTGACCCCCAGACCCTTGGGAGAATCTAGAAAGTAGATCCCCCGTTGAGGTTCCTTGAAATTCCCGAACAGTAGTATAGGGCCCTAAACCCTAAACCCTAAACCCTAAAACCCTAAAACCCTAAAACCCTAAACCCTGAACCTGTGCTAGACCGGGGGCTCTGCTTTGAAGATCCTGCGAGGGGACTGGGAATGACGTTAACATGAAGATTGGTCTAAATTCCCTATAATACGGGGTCCTATATTTGGGTTCCCATTATAATACGGGGCCCTATATAAATTTCCGCCATTTTGGGAACAGTATTTAGGGAAACTATCACATGGCTCTTGCAGTTTGTACTTTGCAACTGCGTCTCATGGCCAGGAAAGTTTGCGAAATGATCATGCTTGCATCCGATTTCACCCTGAGCTCTGGGCAGGATATAGTTAAAACAATCTTATATAGCTCCTGTATATACCTTTACACAATATAGTAGTTTCCATTCTCTTTTCCATGATTCTTATATATGCCCTGATATCTGCTCGTCCAGGCCGCGGCTGGGGTTGACTTCAAGAACAAGAACCTGCAGGCGGGCCTTCGGAATCCTCTTGCCTGTCTGCCCCGGTCTGCCAGGATCCCTGGGCTTCCCCAAAGTAAAGTAAGTTAGTGGTGCTTAGTGGGGAATACGGGTGATTCTCTACCCGTATTCCCTATAGAACATACCCCCCCATAATATTCCCGAGTAAACCCGCCAGTAAGATGAGGAACTCGCTGATGGCAGTATCTGTGATGCTCTTGTGGAGTTTGCATGGTAGGGGCGCGCTCTGCGAGGGGGTGGTGATGCGCTGCCGCTTGGATCGCAGTGGACAGTGCCTGTGTCTAGGAATCCATCGGGCATTGGAACGATAGGAATGGAAGAGATTCGGAGCAAAAGTGCTTGGGCTTCAATTCCACAGTGTTTCCAGGCCATTTAGTCTATCTGGCTTTGGTGTCCTCAATGGAATGTAATTCTCCCATTCCTGCAGCTCGAATCCCAACTTCAAAGCTCATCTCTCCAAATCCGTTCCCTAGCCCCTTAATCTCAAATCTCAAAATCCCAATCCCTGGACCCTGCATCGTCATCTCGACACTCAGCAGAGCTTATGTGTGAGATCCCAAAGGGGGAGCCTAGATGACATGCACCTTTTCATTTTCACGGAGGGTAACAACTCGGCTCTAAGGTCCGAAGTGCATTTTCAAGAGCCTACCATCCAGTGGCTTGGCAGCGAGCAGAACTCAGATAATTATACAATACCAATATATTATAGTAGTTTCCATGAGATTTTCCATTATCCCTAATGGCCCCATTCTATTGTAGTAGCTAGAACTGCAATAGCAGCAGTGGGAGGAGCAGTGGGGGCACTTTATCGCACGGACATGAGGTCCTTACGTCGTGCGGCTACGGGCTCAAGATGTTGGAAGTGGGGTTCCAGTTGGACCCATTGAAGTCATCTTGCAAAGCCTCAAGGTACAGAACTGGGATTTCTGGAGCTGAGAATGTTCCTGTGCAGTAGCAGGTTCCCATGACATGATGGTCTTGAGTTAATCAATCCTCCTGTGAAAGATGTTCGTGTATGACGGAAGACTACAGTTGTTCGTCTTGTGTGGTGGTGCAGCCCCTAGAGCAATATCCTGACAGCGTCCCGGGGCAAAACGTGCATCCAAGAATCCTCGAAGCTTCGAACCCGCGACTCGAATTCGCAAACCCTCGGATCCTCGAATCTTCGAATCCTCGGATCCCACGCAGCCCCTAAGCCCTAAACCTGAAACCCTTGCGCATCTCTAGGGCTCTTGGGGTGCCCTGTACCTCCCATTTCGAGAAGCCGCCATGCGAGGAAGTAATTCAGACACGTTCAGGGCTGAAAGGATTAGAGTTTAGGGCTTAGGATTTGGTTTAGGATTTAGGGTTGAAAGGATTTAGATAAGAGGGTTTAAAGGACTCAGGAATAAGGTAGTCCACAACACACAGTAAGACCATAGTCTCCCATTGGTGGAATGTTTCTAGCGGGGAAAACTTGGTTTGACTTCACTCAACCGCCAAGAAAACATCCCTCAGTTTCCGAGAGAACCCCGGTTTCCGTTTCATTTTCCATTTTGCCCGTTTGAATCTCCGTTATTTGGGTAAGGTCCCCAAACCCTGAACCCCAAACCCCATATACTCCGTATATACTCCTTAGATAACCCTAAACTCTCAACCCTAAACCCTCAACCCTAAACGCTGAACCCTCAACCCTAACCCACTTTTTTGGAAGATCTCTGCACCCAGGGCGTCGGAGAGTGTGGAGCTCTCAGGAGTGGCCGAAGAGCTGGGCTTCCTTTCAGGCTGCCTTGGTCCAAGGGATCATATAGGGTAACTTAGGGTTTAGGGTTAAGGATGTGGTCACGGCATAGAGTGCTCGCCGGTGCGGGGACACACCCAGGCCCCTCGCACCGATTCGTCGCAGCCAACCCACCCCATGACCACCCGGAATTCAAGCAATTTAGGGTTTAGTTCCTAAAATCTTAAGGCAGCCCCGCGGAGGCCAGACAACCCTGGTGCTGAGCAAAACGCGTGACGCACGAATAACGGGCAAAACAAGGCGGACATCATAACAAGTCACATGAGCTCAAGTTATGGGCATCCCGGCGGGGGCCCAGGCAGCACCGACTAGGGCCGCCGTTCAATCGGGGACTTGGCATGACGTGATGTACTTCAAGGTTCCGGCCTGCTGTTTTGCCGAATAAGTTGACATCCAAGGCCAAAGCAATGACCATCAGCGGTCGCGACGACGCGCTGTTTGGTTACTTCCCAGGCTGCAGACCGTCAGCAGTCGCGACGCAATTTTTGGTTACTTCCGAGGCAGCATGGGGCGCTGTTGTGTTGGGGTACTTCGCGGCCGCTTGAGTGTTGTGCCGAGTTAAAAATTTGCGGCTGCTCCGGCACGATTGCAATTGGTCCACAATCGGTCTCGCGATCGGTCCAGAATTGGTCTGGGAGCAGCCAGTTTTGGTTTGGGAGCGGCGGGAGAGGCGCAACTGGTTTGGTGATCACTTTGGCCCAGGAGACGACAGAAGTGGTCTGGGAGCTGGAAACCAGACCCCGCAATTGGTCTGGGAGTTGGTTCAGGAGACTTCAGATCCCAGAACCTTTTTTGTTGCGGGAGGGTCTTCAGGCCAGGCAGCTCCTTGGGGGGTGCTCCAAAAAGGTCCCAGGCGCCGGGTTTAGGGTTGCAGGGTACATACCTTATAACGCTACCCTTATAAGAGGCTGCGTAGGAAGGCTCCGACAAGGTGCCATGATGGCGGCAGTCGCCCAGCTTCACCTGCGGTCCATGACGTTCTTCGCTGCTCGCGAAGCTCGGCCAGCTTCGAGCTCCGGGTAACGGCTGTCGAGCCTTCAGCTACGACTTTAGGGTTTAGGGATTAAGATTTATGGGGGTATATGAGCGATGGCTAAAGTTCCGTCAATTTTAAAAATGTTTAACGTCGGTCGGAAGTCCTGGAAATCATGCGTTCAACTTGCAAAATCACATGCCCCCCGCCCCCAAATAAAGAGATCAGCACGTTTGTGTAATGCAAATTTGTTGGCAAACGATTTTCAAGGTCCGACTCCAGTGCTGTAAAACGAGAAAGTATTAGAGTCATCATTTCGTGCACCAAGTATTTGAACACGCATGGCAATCAAGTGCTCAGCTTCCTTTAGGTGCGTTGGATGGGAGGTTTATGTGGGGCTTACAGGAGCTACTGCCGTTTTGCAATGTGCTCATGCCAGACTTGAGAATGGTGCATTTGGAGAGGGAGTCAATCCTTCATCTGCTCGTGTACGGTTCGCAATCTCAAGCCTAGTAGGAGCGGGACGATCCCCGCAACATGCTCTGGAGTAGATGGAACGAGATTGCAGCCTTTTGACCAGACGTTTGACCATAGGCCAGACAAGAAGTTTCATCCGATGTCCATATGAAGGTTATGTGGGTTCATATCTCTGGATTGTATAGGTCTTTAGGGTTTAGGGCTTAGGGAACAATAGAAACAAGGGCTACTTAATCTTAGAACCCATGTGGGGGCTTGTCCAGGTTGTAGTCCTTTTGTGGGTAGACCTAACTAATTATCAGGGGCCGTATTATATTAAGGATTTTAAGGGGGATTTCAGTCTTGACAACCTACCATCGGAGCTTCAAAGAACTTAGGGTTCTCTTTGTGGTTTTGTGGTGTCTTTATACTAGCAAGTAGCTTCAGGACCCTCTGCGGTTTCGGGATGTAGCCAGGAGACTGAGAACATATGGGCTTCCATCAATGGAAAACAAGATGGAAGCCATTACCAGTAGCTATTGCCATGGTGCTCATAAGCAGTGATTTGAAGAGCGTCACGGAGAAGACGGACACTTGGTTTTCCAGAAGTGGCACAGCACTTTGCTGCATGTTGAGGCGTGCCCTTTGTGGCCGAGGCCGCTGTGAATGGCGCCCCGTCGTACGTGGCGCGCCTGGATGGTGACGAGAAACATCGGCCTCCTGACAGCCAGCTAAACAAACTCATCTCCGGCTTCTGCGCTGCGAGAAGGTTTGTTTTGCATTCCATCCTGCAACAGCTCCAAGCGGGAACATCGGCATGAATCGAACAGAAAAGTTGTATTTCAAGCAGCGCACACTTTCTCACATTTTGTACAGCCGTCACCACGGAAGTTAAGAAAACAAAGGTGATACTTGAGTGTTTTCTGACATGCACGCAATGATTGCATACAACGCTTCAGACGCCCAGGTTTGTTTTGTGGTACTCCAGCACCAACCGCACGCATCCGGCTTGCAGTGGTGCAATAGACTTGGTAGTTTCCCAAAATAGGGGACCCCAGCCTAGACCCCAAAAATTCTATAATCCTTATTCTGGTGACCCCCAAAAGGGTACCCCGCCCTGCCATGTGGATTCTGCTGTTTGCCCAAGCTGGGTTGGACTCCCTGAGCTGAACAAGTGCCTGCAAACTGCAATATGGTGGGTGCCGCGAGCGCCTCCTCCTATTCCTCCTCCTTACGGCATTGCTAGTGGTAGTGGAAGTGGTTGCGATTTGGTGAGAGTGGTAGCGGAGGGAACGGTTTCTAGCCAAGGTGGGTTGTGAACTCCGGTGGTGTTGCTCATGGCCTTGGACAAGAAGCAATCCCGGTGATCGTCAGCGAGGCCAACGTGGATGGTGGGCCTACCGATGCCAGGCTGCATTCCTGCATGTCACGGGGAGCTTCTTTAAGATTCATCCTCTACGTGATCCCTAAGAGGACCCCCGGAGTTTTCTACAATCCGTGCATAATATCACTGAGGTCCCTAGAGCCCTCCTTGTTGAGAAACACTGATGTCCACGAGAAGGGAAGTTGGACTCCGGTTGCCTACTTTTGTGACACGTCCTGTCAGTTTCTGAAGCAGTTTTTGTTGCAGAACTGTCCATCATCCTACAGAAGCTCATCGAGCCGCGGACATGAATCACAAGCGAAAACTGCCAGCTTGCAGTGCTGGCTTAAACAAGAAAATGCCTAGGAACACTGGGGACCTCGAACTGCAGCATGGCATTGTAAAACCCAGTGAGTTGATTAAGAGCTGCCTAAGTTGCTCCTAGTCCGCTCAACATTTTCCCAAGACCCTAGAAGAATCCGCAAAGCCAATGCCTATCTCCACCCGTAATGATTGCTGTAGTGCTGAATTGAGTAGTATCTTGTTTGGGGATACTATGGTACCCAATATAGAGTAAGATTATATCCTCCTTTTGGGGTATAGTATTTTATGTAAGGAATATTGTCTTACTAAGTTCAACCACCAAAAAAACGCTACTCAATTGTTTTGCAGCCCAGGAAGCGAGTCCGAGTCTCAATTTGGATGCCACATGCGTTGCATGTGTTTGACTCCTAAGCGCTGCATGTGTTTGACTACTGGCTTGCTGTTCAGGAGCTTGAATTACGTAGTGCCATTATATGGGGGTTTCCCAAAATTAGGGGTACCATTTGGGGGGGTCCCCATAATAAGGATTATAGTATATTGGGGGCTATATTGGGATCTACATTGGGGTCCCCTTATTTTGGGAAACTACCATATAAAGATCGCGGTTTAGGGTTTAGGGTTGTCATAACGGTATTGCACTAGACCATCCAATAGCTGCCCTTTGCAAAATCCTCTAGACCCAAAACCCAATATGAGCTATAATCTAAATTCCTCCAAGGGGATTATACAGGGGGGGGGGTACTACAGGGGCTATTAAGGGGGATACTAGGAGGTTGGACTATGCCTCAGATGTTTGTACTCTAAACCCTAAATCCTGAACCCTAAAATCCTAAACAGGTCGGTGGTACTACTTTGATGCATTCATGGGTGGCTGGATTCCAAGCCGAACCATGAGATTTCGCAAAGTAGGCGAGCCTTGGAACCGCAGCCATATTTTGGATTTAGGGTTTAGGGTTGTAGGGTTTAGGGTTTTAGGGTTTAGGGTTGTAGGGTTTCGGGTATTTTAGGGTTTAGGCTGGTGGGGTTTGGGGTTTTGGGGTTTAGGGTTTGGGTATTGCGCCACATTGTAACAGTTGGATAATATTGTGGGTAAGAGTATATATGGCACTTAATAAGATCCCTAGTATATGACGTTTACAGGGTGGTGGCAGTACCCATGCCATCTTCCTGGTTGCTGTAGGGATATTACTTACACATGGACGCTGCGAGATATTGTAGCCGGTGTGCGGTTGGGCGATTCGTGACCATAAGCTCTGCAGCTATGATAGAAGCAGAAAGGGATGTTGCCCCATGCAACCCAAGTTATATAGGGATATGTAAGGATATATATATATATATATCCCCAAATAGTAGTTTCCGTTTTCTTTTCCATTATCTCAATAGAGCCCCAATATAATCCCTAAACCCTAAACCCTTATATATATATATGACTGTATTCTCAGGACTCCATTCCCGAAGAGGAGCCTCAGGACAATTGGCTGGATGCAATTGCCCGCCTGGCAAGCCCGCTGATTCCAGAATACCAGTGAGCAGAGCTACAGACCCTGGCGAGCAACACGCAAGCCATGCCTGTTACTGTAGTCTACTTAGGCACTATTTTCCATTTTTCTATTATAGGGTTGCCTGTTGCTGTAGTCTACTTAGGAACTATTTTTCATGTCTATTATAGGGTTTAGGGTTAGGGATTAATATTATAACATAACCCTAAGGAATGAGTAACAATGATATTTGTATTTTGGGTCTAAGGGGACTACAGGTTAGTGCCAAGCCTATTCATCTCTGAGGTTTGCTGCCTAAGGCACAGGCCAAGGTTGGTGTATGGCTCTTCCGAATCAGGAGGTCTATTTTCCTAGCATCTCATTTTCCAGTTGTCCCAGCAACCATTTTCCATTTTCCACCTGACATGTTTCGCGCTGGCAGCGAAGTTGCACGGTGCCGAATCTTCTCGCCGCACAGCAGATAAAAAAATCCCACATGTTGCCGGCTCTCATCAAATGCGATTTCCGTTTGACAGAAGAGTCTTACAAAGCCTTGTTCAAATTCAACTTTGGCCGTCTCGCATTGAGTTGCACTTGGCAGGTTGTGCCAAGAGACCGGAATACGTTCCTCTTCTCCGCCACCATGACGTCCAAGGCAAGAGTCCTCCTGAACCCTAAACCCAATGTAAGGTAATATATGGCCACTGTGTAGGAGTGAGGAGGGATTAAAGGGTTCCTAGGAGATTGTAGGAAATTATGTAGGGACTATATGGAGTACTCGTGAAGGGATTCACTTCTTAGATTGTCTTACATCCCTCAGCTCTAGACATTCTTGAGGTTTGTAACCTTGGGTTTTGGGACCTGACTACCCTAGTTAAGGGTTATATTGTACTCCACGCTTTAGGGATCCAAGCCCCAAGTGTGCCAAGCAAACCTAAATCCTAAACCCTGAGACCCTGAACCCCTAAACTCTGAATCCTAAACACCAAAACCCTGAATCCTGAGCCCTCAATTCGAAAACCTAAATTCTAAACCCAAAACCCTGAACCCTAAACCCTAAACCCTACATCCTAAAACCCTAAATCCTAAACAAAACCCTCAACCCTATCCCCAATTGTTTTAAAGCATGCCAAGGGTCTGGGGGCTTTTGTCGGGCAGGTTTCCAAGCTGCAGCGCGCCAGCCTCAAGAAGCCGGTAAAGGCACCTGCGGTTTTGGGTTATGTAGGGTTTAGGATTTAGGGCTTAGGGTTTAGGGTTTGGGGCTTAGGGCTTAGGGTTTAGGGTTTAGGGCTTAGGGTTTAGGATTTAGGATTATAGGGGGGCATACAGGAATACTGGGATAGGAAATGGAAGCTACTAGTTCGGGTTCAGATTCATGTGGGATTATATATATATATACATATAGGAAAAAAGAACGGAAAATGGACAACTGTCACTATTGAGGGCAAGGGTTTAGGGTCAAGGGTTTAGCGTTATATAGGGGTTATATGGGGATTATATAGGGATATTCCGCCCAAGAATGGAGAATCAAATGGAATAGAACATGGAAAATGACATGGAAGTGGCAGTATAGGATGTAGGGGGTCTTAGAGGTGTAGGGCGGCTTGCTTAGGGCATAGGAGTAAGACGCGTCAGAAAAGTGCTGATGGGAGCTTATTTTTATTATGCTTCTTATTGCTATTCTTATTCTTTTCTTGTTAGTCTTGTTATGATTGTTATTCATGTTATCATTAGTATTGGTTATTACTATTGTTACTATTATTACCGTTAATATTGTTCTACTTATTCTTATCATTATTGTTTTGAAGCGTGTTGATGGAACTGCAGCGGCTTGGATTCGGAATGCTGGACAGGTGGAGGTGAGCTCCAAGTGCGACACGGCGGCCGGCACCTCAACTTCAGAGCAACGCGGTGTAGGGTTTAGGGTTTCGGGTTAAGGTTTTAGGGTTTAGGTTTTAGGGTTTTAGGGTTCAGGGTTTTGGGGTTCTAGGGTTTAGCGTCTATGCAAGAGTTTCAAGCACCCCTCCCTAACGTTGCAACTCTGCCGACTCATGATGAAATATATCGATATTTATGTACTAGCAGTAGGTAATACCTCGGAGAATCGTTGTTGGTTGTTATGGTGGAGGTTTTGAAGTTCTCGGGTCCACAAAAGACCAGAACCTTACTTCCAAGACTTGGTTCAAAGTGGCCAACAGGCACTGGGGACCCCGATATACCCCCGACATAAACCTTATATACACCCTCTATACTCCTTATATACTGGGGACCGGCAGAGCACCTGTTTCTGGGGGAAGGGGGCAGCGAGTGAGTTGGATGCATCTCGGGCATGCTGACTGGAGTAGGCTTCCCATAATTGGTCAGGGTTTAGGGTTTAGGGAGTAGGGACAAGCTGGATGTGGGGGATTGTCAAAATAATTGCTGCGGTCCTTCTTTTGGTGCCCTATAGTAGCAACCATATGCTACCAGGGACCCAAAAGCAACCTAAATTATGTGCCTGGAGCTGTGTTAGGACTCCCGGGATAAGAGTTAGAGTTG